GTGCGTGTGTGTGAGTGAGTGTGTGCATGTGTGTGTGTATCTGTGAGTGTGTGTTAAAAAGTCTGTGTCTGTGAGAGTGTGTGTGTATGTGTGAGTGTTTGTGAGTGTGTGTCTGTGTGTGTGTGTGTGTGTGAGTGAGTAAGTGTGTGTGTTTGTGTGTGTGTGTGTGTGTGTGTCTGTGTGTGTGAGTGAGTGAGTGAGTGTACTTATATAAACATAAAAATCGAACTAAATAAAGTAAATATGAATTTACTAAAATGATATATTATTAATTAACATAAGGAATAATATAAAATAATTTATTTTTACATTTATTCCATCTATTTTTATAAAAGAAAAAAAAAGCAAATAAAATACATATTGTTCAACAACATTTAATATTATTAATAAATATAATAATTAAATATACATTTACTTTTATAATTATTCCTTATATTTTGAGTGGCTTCATGTGAGTTCAGAAGAAAGCTACATCTTACAATTTTCACTGAAGTTCAGTTTGTTAGTTTTAGTAGTAGTTTATCTGCAAATATTATGTAAATAAATAAATAAATAATTCCATAGATGACTTCAGAGTCAATCATTAACATACAAAGAGCTACATAAACAGAATTTTGTGAAGGGAAACTGCAACAAAAACATGCCAAATTTAGTTAAATCTTAATTCAAATGCATAATTATGTGCATCTAATTCAGCCACACGAGTGAGAAGTGTGTGTGTGTGTTGAATCTGATCCATACTTAATGCTCTGGACGCGGCGGGCACAGACTGCACGCCTGAGCTCTTTCCGTTCCGCCGTGCCTGACCTTGCCGCCGCTCCCCAGAGATGAGCGACGGACATCAGCGCTCTGCCAAACAGGCGTGGCCTTCATTGCCCAGCAGCCCTTTCACACCTAAACAAACCGTAGAGGGCAGAGCGAGAGAGATGCAACAGATGCCCACTTCACCAACATCCGGGCACCTGAACGCAAATGAATAAATAAACAAACCAAACGCTGTGGTTGTAAGTGCGGGCAGAGAGAAATCAGCGCTTGGCGGCACGCCACAGATCCGACAACTGGCACGATACCCTCCACAACCCTGGCAAACACCGCCCCCCTTCTCAAGAGACCGCGGCCGAAAGAGAGAGAGAGAGACAGGAAGTAGATAACATTTCTGTGTCTCTCAGCTCCAAAACTAATTAACACTCAAGCGCATAACATGGAGTGAGTAAGTGTGTGTGTTTGTGTGTGTGTGTGTGTGTGTGTCTGTGTGTGTGAGTGAGTGAGTGAGTGAGTGAGTGAGTGTGTGTGTGTGTGTGTGTGCTCACGTTTGAAGGGGCCATCTGCTGCAGACAGCGCCGGTGCTCCAGGTTTCTCTATCCTGTAAATCTCATCCAAAAACTGCAGTTTACAGTCACCAATCACATCACCCAGACCTCTGAAACAACCAATCACAGCACCAGCTTACAGTGATGTCATACACGCCTGTGATCACACAACCAAATGAACCAGAATCACTGATGAATCACTAGGACCCTCGGAGATCTGTTTATTTTTTTCTGTTTTCTCTATTTCCATTTTTTATTTTTCACAAAAATGTCAAATTAAAATAAATAAATTGTAATATCAAAATGAAATACTAAAAATGTATTTATAAAAATGTCAAAGCATCACAAAAAATGTAAATAAAAATAAAACACTTACTAAAGATGTACTAAATTATAAAAATGCTTTTTTGGAATTCTGCGTTTTATCATCAAAAATGGTGGTAATTAATTTACAAACTACTATGTAAACAATTTATTTAATATTGATAGATTAATATTTAAATGAAGCGATTGATGCTTAAATAAAAAATACAATAATCCATTCAAACAAAATATTGCATTTTTATTTTTTTGTCAAACAACTTGCTTCAAACAGGTTTACTGCATAAATTAATTTGTTATAATAAATTTGTATTATTATTATTATGATTTCTACCACTAATGTAAATGTGCATTTTACAATAGCAATATATTTCCTCAAGTTAAGTGAACTTTTATTTTGGCGGTTAGCTTTACCCCAGCAGAATCTTGACGCGGATCTCTTTGTTGGTGCGCGAGACAGCGTTGAGGGTCGAGATCTCGGCGTCGTACCAGAAGCCTCGCTCCTCGGGATTCTCCAGGTTATAGTTAACCATCACCAGGTCACCCACCTGCAGCTGGTCGAAGCGCAGCAGAGTCCTGGCCCTCGGACGAACGTCACCCGCGCTCATCTCCACCACGCCGTTCTCTGGATAACTGCGGGAAACAGAAGCAAACGCCGTCGGCATCAGACGCAAGAATAAACCTCAGCGTGTGCCGTTAACGCCACCAACAACAACTGCAATAATGACTGTTTTCACACAGGTTTCCTCAACACTCCCTCTGCCTGCCATTGGTCAGTCAAACAGATAGTCCCGCCCCCAAACTCACTCCATTGGTGGAGTCAGAAGTCGACATGTTCGGGCCGATCAAACAAACTGATCAATGTTCTGAAAGTGTCAAGAAAAATCTACCTATAAATGGCAAATTTAAAGTAGGCTTTCTCAAACTAGTGTTCATGAGTTGATAAAAAAAGCTAATAATTATAAGAATGTCAAATTAAATAAAAAACATTTAAATAATAACAATCAAAATAAACACTAACTTAAAATGTGCGAAATTATAAACATTTCGAATTAAAATAACAAAGTAAATAAAAACAAAATAAAACAATGTATTAACTAAAAAAAGTAATAAAAATAAATTTTGCTAAAATAAAACTTGCTAAAATGCATTACATTTATTCATTTTTAAAAATTATTTCAAAACAAAAACAATCAAAATAAAAGACTTCCTAAAAATGTATGAAATCATAAAAAGTCAAATAAAAACATCAAAACAAAACAAAGTAAAACACTTAGTCAAAGCTAATTAAATTATAAAAATATAAAAAAAAAAATAATAATAATTTTATCATAAAAATGCGACTAAAAAATTTAAAACAAATCAAAACAAAAAATGTATTCAACTATAAAGAGTCAAATAAAAAATTGTAAAATTAAAATAATTTTAAAATAAAAACAAGCAAATTACATCGCTTACTAAAAATTAAATGAAAAAAAAAATCAAATTAAAATAATTGTAAAATAGCCACAAATCACAACAAAACACTTACTAAAAATTAAATAAAAAATGATAAAAAAACATCAAATTAAAATCATCTTAAAATAAAAGCAATCAAACTGAAAACTAAAAAGATTAACTGTTGACCTGCGTGTTATATGACCAGTAACTGATTTCAGGGAACTGTGAATGTGTTGTTAAATTATTGAAATATTAACTTATCAGACAACTTGACATCGACCGAGAAACAACAAATGTGTTATTCTGAACGTTTTGATCTCAGGGAAGAAAACAACAGCCACAAACACGAGTGCATTATCTCGCAGAGATCCGTCGCTTGGAATCGCTGCTGTTCAGATGCGTGACGTCAGCGGCGTGAATCAATGAATCAGTGAATCAATGAATCAGTGAATCAATGAATCAGTGAATCAGATCCGCAGACGTCTGATCGCTCTCACACACATCTGCTGGAGAAACACGCTTCTGAGCGACCGTACGCTCCACAACATCTGCTGAAAACACACACACATGAAGAGCAGGAACAGTGTGTGTGTGTGTGTCTGTGTGTGTGTGTGTGTGTGTGAGAGTGTCTGTGTGTGTGTGTGTGTGTCCATCAGTCGTAGGTTGATCTTTCTCTCGTCTGGACTGTGCCGCACTCTTCTGCTGCTCCACACGCTCATGTTCGGAATATCAATATGACTCTCACTCACACACACACACACACACACACACACACACACGCACACACACACACTCACGCAGCAGCAGCAGGACTGTGTGTGTGTGTGTGTGTATGTGTGTGTGTGTGTGTGTGTGTGTGTGTGTGTGAGAGAGAGAGAGAGTTTTTGTGTGTTTCATCAGCTCCGGCTCTTCTGACCCTTTAGAAAATAAACACGTTTCACATTCTCAGCAGTTCATTTCTCATAATGTCCAGCTCTCAGACAACACACACACACACACAGGTTTGTTTTTGTGAAAAGTGGGGACATCCTCACTCTCACCCTCACACTCTCACTCTCATTCACACACACTCTCACTCTCACTCTCACTCACACACACTCACACACACTCACTCTCACTCTCACTCACACTCACACACACTCACTCTCACTCACACTCACACTCACACCCTCACACTCTCACACCCACTCTCACACTCACTCACACCCTCACCCTCACACTCACACCCTCACCCTCACCCTCACACACACACTCACTCTCACTCTCACTCACACTCACTCTCACACTCACACTCTCACTCTCACACTCACACTCTCACTCTCACACTCACACTCTCACTCTCACACTCACACTCTCACTCTCACACTCACACTCTCACTCTCACACTCACACTCTCACTCTCACACTCACACTCTCACTCTCACACTCACACTCTCACTCTCACACTCACACTCTCACTCTCACACTCACACTCTCACTCTCACACTCACACTCTCACTCTCACACTCACACTCTCACTCTCACACTCACACTCTCACTCTCACACTCACACTCTCACTCTCACACTCACACTCTCACTCTCACACTCACACTCTCACTCTCACACTCACACTCTCACACTCTCACTCTCACTCTCACTCACACCCTCACACTCACTCACACACACACACACACACACTCACTCTCACTCACAGTCACACTCACACCCTCACACTCACTCACACACACACACACTCTCACTCACACTCACACCCTCACACTCTCACTCTCACTCTCACACTCACACCCTCACTCACACTCACACCCACACCCTCACACTCACACTCACACCCTCACTCTCACTCACACACACTCACTCTCACTCACACCCACACACTCACACTCACACTCTCACTCTCACACTCACACCCACACACTCACA